AATATAATATTTTTGTAGTATATTTTTAACTCACATATATTATATATTATTTCTGTTTAAATTTGTTCTCTAATATTTAGTTTTTCTCTGTCTGATATGAATAATTTTTCTCACTTTATGTATCATATGGCGTAAGAAAATGATTATACCTGGCAATCGAACAATAATAAATTCCAGTGCTCGCAATGTGTGTCACTGTGAAGAGACGAACAGCTGATAGCTATGTGAATACAATACACCCTGACGCACACACACAAACACAAACATGCTCACACTCATGCGTACCTGAAGCAAGAAAATTTATATATATGAAAAAAAAAATCAATAAAGAAATAAACCAAAAACTGGTTCCCAGCAGCTGTGCAATGCATTCAAATGAGCTGCTAATGATGATAATGTTGATGACTATGATGACGATAATGAAGAGGTTGACAATGATAATGATTGTGATATACGCACAGACTTTAATAACGTTTTAATGAGACTTTAATTCTGTCTGTGGAGACAAATTGTGCAGAGATTTTTCCTTGGTCGATTATTGAGAAATACCCTGCAGCTACATGCACAGCGGGTAGTCAGCATGCACTAATTAGGTACATTAGACCTTTGCACAGGCCGCATCCCAACAGTCAATGAACTGCTTAAAGGCAGACAAGTTTTGATTACTTGAATTTATCGCTCAAGAAATCTTGCTCGTGATATTAAATAAGATAATATCAAACATTTTGTTTTATAATCCATAAACTTATCTAATCTAATGCGTCATCGGATGTGAATTACGTGAATGCGTATGCAGTAAATTATATTACCCGTACGTAAGCTAAATATTGCATAATGAGAACAATAAATAAAATTAATGAAAAGTTTGTGCTGGCAGCGCAAACATTCATTTCAAGTGTAAATATTGCATATTGACCTTAAAACATTATCAATTATTATTTGCAAGTGATATATGTCTAGGTATACCCTGTAATAATGAATATGGAAATTCCGGGTATGTTGCTTATGTTAATATGCATTAAATAAAAAGAAAAGGTGAAAGCGAGAGGCGTGGAAGATCTTAGAGTAATATTACAAATGCCACGCCTCCTCCGCCAGATTAGTAACTGACCTAAGTCGATCTATGCTCCACCTGGGCTCTAGGTATAATCTAGTTGGTCCCTCCCGACTGCAGCACTCTGACACGCTACAAATATGAATTTTCATTATTGCACATCAACTTCACTGAATTTATCGCATTATAAATCATTTCGAATCATGCAATTTCTGAATTAATTGCTGCAATTTTTTAGCTCTCAACTTTTCAACTCATTTTGCCAGGGCGAAGGACATTCAAACACGAATTTGCCATTGCCGTTTGTTGCAATGAAAACTTTTTCGCTTGGCTTATACGGAGATTTCATTGGCTTATCGCGGCTGCATCGCAAGCATTTGCATAAGCTGCTTAACTGTAACGTGCTAAGAACGTTTGCACAATGCAAGTTTTTTGTGCTGTTATCAGACGTGCAAACCGAGCAAAGTGTAAAACTTACTTTTATAAGTATATGAGATGCCAGGCAAGGCGGAAAAAAAAAACTCAGAGCTCAATAAAATTAAGATGTAAAGCCAAGATTATATTAAATTAGTATTTCTTTTTAGAAAAGGCAGAAAATATGTATAGATTACTGCAAATATATTTATAACAATTATAATTGCTCCGAGGAACAAAGTTTAATATAATTAAATCAATAACTGATATTAAAAAAAAAAAAACTATTATAATAATCTATATTTTTTATGATATTCATGAATATTTATATTTATATATATTCACAATGGATGAGTTTATGAGCACTTGAAATAATATGCATGACATTTATAATACTACGCTATTTCATTACTCGTATATATAGGAATAACAGCTAAAACAGAAAGCCATTTCTTCCTATCTATAGCTAGTTTTAAATATGACCTGTTGGATAAGACAGAGCCACAATTTATAATTTCAACTGGTAAATTTCCACTGGCAAAGGGAAAACAAAGACCAAACAGTCTTAGTGGTTGAAAACAAAAATAAAAGAGAAAGAGAAAAAAAGAAGCAATGCTCAGTAGGGCATTTAGAATATTAAAGACATAGGCAATGAAAACAATGCCAAGATATGAAACTGCACTCCGCATCTCAAGTGGAAGAAGGGAGCGACAGAAAGAGAGGGCAATCCATATAGAGTATGCGGAGAGAGGGTGAGTGTGCAATGGCACACACACACGCACACACACACACATACATAGATCTTCATCAAGTGTAAATGTGTCTGGGCGAAGTATCGAGCCGCTTTGGCAGTCAGTCAGTGATTCGATTTCGAGCCGCGATGTCAGCTGTGAAAACTTTAAGACGACAGCATAAACTTCGTACAATGAAT